TATCATGAGTTGACGTGGTATGTGAGCAAGGTCGAGATATACCAGTTATAAGCGACCACAGTATAATAGTCAAGTCAAAGTATACTGATTATAAAGTGACCAATGTTGATTCTTATGTGGACAAGGTCAATATATATATATATATATGTGTGTGTGTGTGTGTGTGTGTGTGTGTGTGTATAAAATGATCAAATCAGAGTAAGGTATAAGGTCGGAAGTCAAAATCCTTAACTAAGTACTATAAGGGGTAGGTAGTCATCAGGCTAATCCCATATGAGGCTTATGCATGCTAATGATGTGATAAGCTCACACCTAAGTTGTTCTACCCTAACAGGAGTAATAGACCTTCTAATTTAAGTGGAAAAATATGAAAAACCATGTTGTTATGGATTCTTATCCAAATTAGCTATTAATCTAACTAAATTGAAAAGATCGAATTGTTGTTGGTTCAGTATGGTCAAGTCACTTAGACTGCTCATCTGTCACTTGTGTAGTAGAAGATCTTCAAGTTAAAATGCGTGACGTCGCATATATTTGATTTTTTGTGCATATGCGATTGATTTGTTGAGTTGTAAGAGGCACAGGTCATGTTGTAGTGTTGTTCAAGTTAAGTAATAACTTTTGCATGTGATGTGTTGATGTTTATGTTGTTCACATGCTATATTGAATTATGATGAGTTACATTGTTGTGTTGTTCTAGTTGAATATCATATTGTATTGTGTTGATAAGTTGTAAATTAATGGTATGTTGAAACATGTTAAGTTGTTTATGTTGATAATATAGTAGTTTCACACTTATACTAATTTATTGATTATTTTGAATACTAGTTTACCTTCATATGTTTTCATGTGATTGGATTGCGATGATCATATTTGGTATGAGAACATAGCAGAGATAGGCTACCAATAGTTTGTATTAAGGCCATGTTAGTGATGGTGATGCTAATCTTTTGAGTTGCCTTGGTTTAGGTGAATGTTAATATAGTGTTGTTTGACCGATAACTAAGATTTATTTTTCATACTTTAGTACGTGATAAACTTTAGTACATGTTATATGATTCAGTTCTTGATAAACTTTTATTTGATACATATTATGACATGTATATCCAAGTTTTACAAGTCTGTTACTCATAAATAGTTACATTTATATTTTTCGCTACTAGTAATTGAACCATTAATTGTAATGATCTGATGGATCGTTACATAGATAAATTTCCCACTATACTATAATTAATTATATATTTGAAATTAAGTTAAGAAGTATATTTAATAAGCAATTTTTTATATGAAATATCACTATCGAAAGTAGTGGTTAATCCTCATTGGGAACTGTAAACATAACAAGATAAATATTTATTTTCTGACATAGTTTATTACATACCCAATATTCTCTCAATTGGGGACTGTGAGGGGTTACAAGTCAGATATTTCATTGGGGAATCGTAAACATAACAAGATAAATATTTATTTTCTAATATAGTTTATTACATACCCAATACTCTCTCTATCGGGGATTGTGAGGGGTTACAAGTCAGATATTTCCCTTCCAAATATAGTCTATTTCATACCAAAGATCAAGATTCAAATCTTGATCAACTTTGTTAAGGACACAAGCTGCTATCATTTGTGCCCCTCAATGTTGGTAATTTCAATATTGATAATTTTTTTGGTATGGACAACATATGTTATATTAAAGACAATTTTACAGGATTGATATAGATGACAAAATGCTCTCTTCAAATATTTAACACAATTATATCCTTAAGATATTTAAACTCCAAAATATTAATTAAATTAATATATTATTAGTCCTTTTTCAATATAAATTTAGTTAATGAATAAATTGATTTACTAAAGTAAAATATGGTTGAAAAAAAACATTTTAATTAATTGATTATTAGTTATATTTGATGAATAATCACCATATCAGGACCAAGTAACAATTTAAAAACATGAAAGAGTAAAACAACACTAAATAATATGTGCTTATAAGACGTGATTTCAGTTAATCATTATCTTAATACTGCAAAAATTTATTATAGGAGTAATAAATCAACTTGTGTTTTAGGAAAAACTTTACAAGTTAAAATCACTAAGTCAAAATACTTGATTAATATCTTATTTAATTTGATATTATGCTTGTATTTATGTTATATATATATATATATATATAATGAAAAAATAGGAAAATCGGGTCATATTTTGTTTAAAGATGATTTTGAAAAAGATATATATATATGAGATATATGTTAATATTAATTTTATATTTTAAAAATTTAATTTATAGGTAAACATAAAACATCTCCGATTGAAAATTAAAGATTAATTTTTCGATATATTAAAATTTATTTAAGGTGATAATCTCTCCTAACAAATATAATTTAGGTTTAATGGTCATGTTCTATAAATATAAAAGTTTTTACACTATTAACCTATAAAAAATTGTTATTAATATGATTTTTAAGGTATATTTATAAAATTCAACAAAACTTACACAATGAATCATAGTTTGTGATTAGAAGAAGGTATAAAATAATTTTATATTATTAACGTATAATTTTTTTTTCTGGTGTACTTTTTATAATTTATACACCTAAATAAGATTGAATTCATGGTCACATACTTGACTAATGTACTTGAGAAGCAAGAAGCAAGACGCAAGATCACCTATTAATTGTAACATTTAGTAGTTAAATTTCATAATTTGGGTCATGCATTATTGAATTTCAACAAATGACTCATTTAAGACTCGGTGCGTATGAATCAATTAAACTATCCAACAACATCTTCTAGTAACACCCAATACATTATGATTGTATTTTAATTTATTTTCTTTTCAGATCTCATTAAGAAGATTAAGGCACATAAATGCAGTTATAGATGGACATGACTTTAACATGAACTGTTCTCAAAACTGAAAATCGTAACTATTTTATTTTTGAAAAAATACACACTGACATGCACAAATAGTCACTCAACCACTCGGATGGTCTCACCTACGACCATTATAATTGTTAATATTATTGTTTTGAAAAGAAAAATATAAATATTTAATGATGAGATGCTTGACTGTATAACAAAGAAAATAAGCATGAAAAAACCATGAGCTGGATGTTACATTTATAGCAGGGACCAACTTGTTGAAGTCACTTTTGAATTTAGAGCATAGTTGATCCACTCACATCACTTGAGTCATTTATAAATTACAATAGCCAAATTGAAAGATTTTCTGTAGTTTTGGATGGTAAATTCCACACATATTTTACTTTAATTTGACCCAACATAATAACATGTACATGTATTAGTACAAGATGATAAATAAATCACATTTTCCATTCAGAAAGATACAAATTTCACGTTTGTATAGTCCAATCCAATGCACAAACACCCAATAATTTATGAACAAAACCCATCGGATAGGAGCAACGTCTTTTATTCTCACCGGTTCACCCTTGTAACGCGCATTTTCCCAATCAATGGGTTACCTATGTATGCACCTGAGATTTATTTTTATTTTTTCACTTAATGTTTTTACATAAAATACAGAAAGAATAAAAATAAAGTAAAATTAACATATGATTAAAATCATTATAAAAACTAATTTCATAGTCAAATTAAAATCGCCAAAATGAGTCTCTTAATTCTATCTATTTTGTCCAATTCGTGTTAATGAATTAAATAGATTGACTCACTTACTTTTAAAATTTTTTTAATAAATAAATATCCACCTAATCATGATTTTTTTTTATTCTATTCTAATGTATAGTCAAAAGGTTCAAATATGCTTAAAAAAAATTAGGTCACTAATTGATCTATACAAAAATTCATTTAAATCGAAATAGTAAGTGAATATTGAATCATGTAAGTAGATTGCGAGAGTTTTTAATTTTTTTTTAGTGAAACCTGAATGAATTGGCTGGGATCTAGTTTTTTTTTTTTAATTTTTTTTATTGAGCTTGTCAACTCACTATGAATTTAACTCGGATGATTTGGGTTCTAAGTGGACTAGGTTCAATTTTTACCAATACCCAAATTTACAATTTTTTTTAATTCTATTTGACTTGAATGTGTGATAAACTGAATTGACTCATGAATTATCACTTGTTTTGACATCTCTAATTTAGACCTTTATTTCTTCCTTTCCCACTTTTTACATATACATTTGATAGGAGTTTATTCTATTAGTCATTTTAATTATAAATATTGTATAGTCACAAAATAAATATGTTGAGATTATATTATGTAGTAATAGTGTAAAGATTTTTTTTTATATTATTATTCAATTAGAATTCACCAATCACCATATATAATAAAATTAATTTTTTTTATAAGAATTACTTTAAAATCATATATATTATCATTTGTACTTATTGACAGTAAAATACTTTTATATTATTAACGTATAATCATTAAACTCAAATTAACTTGTAATAAAAAGATTATTCTAAAAATACATATAAATTAAACTTGGAGACTTATTATTAAGTTTATGCAAAAATATTTATTAAAAATAAGTGCATCTTTTAAATAGATATCGATATTTTAATAAATCAAACATAGGCTTTGATGGATAATACCTTAACAGATCTTAATATTTTAATAGTTTAATCATATAAACACTTATATATTATTAACCAATCAAAATTTATCTTTGAAAAGTATGTTAAATTAATAATTATAATGGTAACAAATCTACTGCTTATGACTATTTACAGTTAAAAGATCCTATGAAAAGTCTTTACGATATTAGTAGATGTATGATTTGAAATAAATAATATAATTTTATTTTATACAGTAATCTAATCACAAAATATTGATAACTTTTTATTTTTATTTTTATAATTATTAGTTAAAAAGTCAGATAAAAACTTTTATATTTAAATACATGCCTATTAAGTCTATTATTTATTTTATTTATAAGGAGTGATTAGAAAAAAAAAAAAAAAATAGAAGGTAGTGTAGGTACAAAAACAGTAGAGAGCAAAGCACATATGACATAACAACAGAAAGCAACACACATTTTTCTGTTTTTATGTTCACACTCACACACACTGCTTCTGGTTTCTGATTCCCCTTGTATAAAAACGCAACCTTTTTGCTCCTCCTTTCTCTTCTTCTCACTCTCCGTGTGTTATTTCCCTTTTCCCTTTTCAATAAAAACCACCTTCCGTTATTAGGGTTTGAAATGTGGAGGGAGAATGGAAGGCTCTGAATCCGATTCTGCAGCACTTTCCAATTCCAATGGCGCAGAGCCCCAATTGGAGGCTCCTTCTTCCCCCGTCGCTCATCCTGAGCCGTCAGATCTCAATCACGCGGCTGAGGAAGACCCACTCGCTGGGGAGCTTCAGACTAAGTTGGATTTGAAGGGTGGGGACGAAGGTGAGGAGAAAGTTTCGAACTTTAACGATGGTGGAGGAGTTTGTGACGAAGAAACTGCTAAGGGTGATGGAGATAGTAGGGGTTGGGAGACTAATAGTTGGAATGAGGAAGTGGGTGTTGATGTTGATGTTGAGGGTGATGGTGATGGTGATGTGGATGTTCATGATGATGACGATGATGGTGATGGAGTGGAAAAGAAGGAAGAGAAAAGCAGTGGTGGAACTCACCAGTACCCTTTGAGGCCTGAAGCTGAAGATTGTGCATTTTATATGAAAACTGGGAATTGCAAGTTTGGGTTTAACTGCAAGTTTAATCACCCCATTAGGAGGAAAAGCCAGGTGCTTCTTATGCCTTTCTTCTCCTATGCCTTATTTAGTTGCTATGTTTGTTAGTGTTGCATTGGTTTAGATATGGTTGCCAGATTTGGCTATTTGCTAGTGATAGATTTATAGTCATCGATTTTGATATTTCATTTTTAAGGGTCAAGCTTTCGAATAATCCACTTCTGTGAAGGTTATCTTTTGGTCCTAGATTTTCTGTGTATATGACATTGTATAATTCTTGGAATTGCTGGATTGAGAAGATTTAGAAAAAGGGTATTTTGTCTTTGGTGAAGGTATATTTTTTTATTGGAGGAATGGTAAATGGTAATAGATGTTACACCATGGTTGGTACTTGACGTTGAATTGTAAGTTTTTGTGAAATTTCTATCTTTGGTAATGTGCTTATATGCTTTAAGATTGTATCTATTTTGGTCTTTCTTAAAATGTTCTATGTTGTCTGGATGTTTTAACTATGAACAAAGGCTACTAAAGAGAAGGCTGGAGAAAGAGAAGAACCTACAGATAGATCGGGAATGACAGAATGCAAGGTTATTGACAGATTTATGCTTCTAATCAAATTCTGTTGCAAATTTTAATTTTTCATGTTTTATTATTTCACCATATTATCACTTTGGCTTAATGTTCATATTATAATCATTAAAATACAAATTCCTCCTGCTTTGTGATTTGCGATGGAACATTGTATGTAAGCCTCTGTAAGGTTAATTCAAGGTGGTTCAACCTGACATATAATTTTATATTATCCAGCTCCTTCCGTGACAGTGAGATCATATATCATTTATATGCTATATGTTCAATTTGGGTGATGTAATTTCTGTCATTACATGACTTGTGGGGTTGTGGGTTTGGTAAAGTTATATAAATACAATGTATTCTATATTAGAATCTCTTGATCAATAAATAATTGCCTGTGGCTGAGAATTAACAGATGTCTATTTTGATTAACTATGTCTGGATCATGTGTTGATCTATGCTACCTACACTGTGTACATGGACAGAGGAAACGAAGATAAATTTCTATCATGGAAGTTTGGTTTTTATCATGGCATATTAGTTAGCTGAGTTCTTTATGTTAAGCTTTATCATGCTGCCCTAGCATGGATAATGTTGACAATGTTGATGAGGTTATATAAAGAATGCATGAAAACAAATTGTAAGTAAATGCTTTTGAACTACTCTATCTATTGTTAGGTTGAAAAAATTATTGGACCTTCAAAACAACTTATGGTGAAAAGCAAGTTTAACTTTTACAGTTTATCTCTTGCCCAAACCATGTCATCAGCATATGATACTATACCTGATATTTCCATAAAAAATTTTCCTGATATTATGACAGTATTATCAAAGGTCTGGGGGTTGTAAGTTTGGAAAATCTTGTAAATACAACCACACAAGAGGAAAATTTTCAACAACGCCAGTTTTAGAACTCAACTTTCTTGGTCTGCCTATTCGTCCGGTACGCCCTTAGTTGCTTACCTATAACAAAAATTATATATGATCTCTGCCTCTTTCTGCAGTCTTCTAAGGTAGTTGTTTCTGAGATATTAATAATGTTTTTCATGATAGGGAGAGAGAGAGTGCCCCTATTACATGCGCACTGGCTCTTGTAAGTTTGGAGCAAACTGCAAGTTCAACCATCCTGATCCTACAGCTGGTGGAGGATGTGATCCTCCTTCAGGGTATGGTAATGGAGGGTCTATTTCATTACAAGGTGTATCACAACCGTCCTGGTCTTCTTCAAGAACATTAAATGAAGCAACTCCTTTTGTGCCAATGATGCTTTCACCTACTCAGGGAGTTTCTACCCAAAGTTCTGATTGGAATGGATATCAGGTAAACACATAGATTCAATACCGATAACCATCTGGCAAGGTGGAACTTATTATATAATTTTTACTAGAAAACACTTAGTCTGCCAGTTTTCTTTTCATGCAGTGTTAATGCTCTCTGCTGCTGCAGAATTTTTTTAAACGGCTTCCTAAATTGTGAGATAATGTTATTATGTCACCCTTTGACTATTGTAGACTTATCATTAATCTTACATGTTTTGATATAGGTACATTGAGTACTTTTAGCAAAATGAGTATTAAGATATTTGAGGTTTGAAGGTTATATTCCCTAATAATTAATTACTTAGAATTCAAAAAAGAAAAAGAAAAAGTCTTGCAATTTGTAGGCTCAATTTTGTTGATCTGTGGTGTGTAGCAGGCTGCAGGCATATCGAATAATCATGCCGATTAAGCAATAATGCACAGTTGACTTTATGCATGAAAGTGAATTTAAAATTGCACCTATTACTGATCCCTAAAGTAAATATGATGTATGGCATCTAATCTAATGTTTTGAATTTGTGATCATTCTACGACCTCCTCCCCCCTTCCCTTCCTCCCTAGTATTTGTTATTTTTTTCTGTCTTGATTTTTATGGGGCAGTATTTGACTCATTGGTATGTGATGCAAGACACTGAGTGTTCTTTTCTTGTTCCTAAACCTGAGTTAACTATTCTGCTAGCCAAACTTTTACCAGTGATTGTTTTCCCATCAAATTGACACGTTTGTGGTTTGTAAAAGGCACCTGTCTACTTACCTGAGAGGAGCATGCATCCACCTTCTACGTTTGTCATGAACAACCCAACAATCGATACAAATGTTTACATGCCCCATCCCCATCAAAAGCAAGTGCTTGCTGAAGAGTTTCCAGAACGGCCTGGTGAACCTGAATGCAACTTCTTCTTAAAAACTGGGGATTGCAAGTTCAAATCTAATTGTAAATTTCACCATCCAAAGAATAGGATTGCAAGATTACCTCCATGCAACCTCAGTGACAAGGGTCTGCCTCTGAGACCTGTAAGGTTTTATGGTTAAAAGCTTGAAAATTTATTTTCTTTTTGGTTTTGCTAATCTGAAATCTTTAAACTGGAATTAACATGGCATTGTACCCTAGAGATGATTGAGTTTCAGATTTTTGAAAGATATTTCCTCTAGTTTAGTCACATGGGTCTACAATCCAAATTGGCTAATTTCTCTTAATATTTTATGTCATGAAATCCAGGATCAAAGTGTTTGCTCACACTACAGTCGCTATGGAATATGCAAATTTGGACCAGCTTGTAAGTATGACCATCCCATAAACTTGCAGCCCTTGATGCCTGAACTTGGTCAGCAATCCTACTCAAACTCGGCTAGTGTTGAGGTGGCTGGGATAGGTGGAAGTGCAGTTACAACTGACGCAACAATTCAGCAATCTGTGTAAACATGTTTGTCTGAGGATCTTCTAGCTTTGAGGATGCATATCACCCAAAATTTGTAGTTTTCTTCTTAAACATGATAAATTTATTTAACTTTTCCTAGCACTGTCCAATGTGACACAAGCTTTGCAAAGAATAGCAACATATGTATGTCAAACAGTTTTTATGTATTTATTACAACATCTGCATATGTAGATTATCTTTTCTTGTTCGTTTTCTCTCACTTGAATTATAATTATATTGGTTTGAAATGTTTGTGAATGCGGATTTTGTTGTCTTACTCATGTCAATGGGGTTATGAACCTTGGTATGTCAGAATTGGCAACCAGTCGATATATCTGATGAGTAAAACAAGTCTTATATAGATAATACCGTAGGTCCTTGGAATGGATAAACACTTTCTAGAGTATTGTTTGATGAAACAAAGAATCGAAAGAAAGATAGTAGTACACGTCTTAGCTTTTCTATATTTGACGTGTATCATTCTTTGGATGTAATCTTGTTCGAGATAAATGTCGTACTTAATGTGATTATTACTTTCAGCACGGTTTCGAATTTTGCTTCATTATATTGTAGGATACTAGATTTTTTTTAAGACTCAATTCTATGTCTTAGCTTGATACATGCCCTGTTTATAACTTGATTTTCACTTGTGTCTTATGTATATATGGTCATGATGTTTTTATCTAAAACTAAATTTTTCATCTCCTTTCAAATATTTACGAGATAATTTGATTAAATTATTTTAAACATTCTTTTGCCCGATATTTACTAACCAAAATAGTAAATTTCAATACAATAAATATAAAAAAAATAAAATTATCCTCTTCAAATTTAATCTCACATCCAATAAAATTTTATTAAAATTGTACCCTTTATTTCTAAGTAATAAACTATTAATGTTTTTTACGCTAACCAAGGAATTAAAAAATTAACGCAACTTTAAACTAAGAAAATGACAAATATATAGTAACAAATTTTGTCTAAATAATTGACTCTTTAAAAGTTGTGTAGGATACTATATTTCTAGCTTAAGCACTGTTGACTATTTTATATCCCAAATCCAACATAAATACATGGATAAAATTAATGATTTTATGGTTTTAAGTAGAACAAAATTTTGTTCTACTCCCCCCCGCCGAGAGAAAAAAAAAAGTAGAACAAAATTGAAAGCGTGACTAAATTTGCTTTATTTTTTTTTTTAAAAAAAAAAATCAGAGGGATTTAGTTAACTAGAAAAAGTTTAAGGAACTAGAATCACACATAACCCAAATCATAGGAAATAAAAATGAAATTAAAACAAACTTAATAATGGACCTTAATTATAAAAAATAAAAAAAAACTTGAGAAAATTTAATTCACATAAAATATTCTGTTATTTAAGAAGAAAATACCATTTAAATCTAAAACAAAAATCACTGCACACAAAAAATTTAAAAAAAAAGACACCTTCAAATATTTATTTTTATCCATTGAAAAGATTATATAGATGTGACAAAAATTGAACTTAGATTCTTTCGCTTCTACTCCAACTTCTTCTCCTCCCCAACCATTAGGCTAATCTAAGCTAATCCCTAGTGATGCACTCTTAAATGTTTAACATGCATGCTTTGGAATATACTATTTAAGATTAATAGTTAATTCACAATTATCTCAATTATTATATACATATCTTTTTAGTTAAAGTAGAAAAATAGAAGTAACTTGTTTTTAGCAATAAAGAGATTTTTTTAAATGAAAAGACTTAATTTTAAAGATAAGAGTAATTAAGATATGAAACAAATAATAAAATTATGATATAATAGTTAAAATAATTAATAAATAATAATTAAACTATGCTTTGGAACATATTGTTTAAGATTAATAATTAATTCACAACTATCTCAATTATTGTGTGTATATTTTTTAATTAAAGTAGAAAAATAGAAGTACCTTATTTTTAGCAATGAAGAGAAGTTTAAAAAAAAAAATGAAAAGACTTAATTTTAAAGATAAGAATAATTAAGATATGAAACAAACAATAAAATTATGATATAATGGTTAAAAAATAAATAATAATCAAACAAAGTCTAGCTTTGTTGAAGTTGAACATTGTGCGTAAATCATTGTAAATTTCTTGATATCATATTCAATTCTAATGGATAAAAAAATAATAAAAAAAAACTAAAGATGAGAATTAAAATTTTGAAACCTCATCATAAAAATTAATATAAAAGTTGAATTTATAGATTATTATTAGTTTAAAATCTTCAAAAAAAATAAAATGAATATTAAATATTATAATAAAGTCACATGTTACAAAAGAAAGAATCATAGTTTATTTGCACAAGTGTTCGACACTTGGATTTTTACTAGGGTTTAATTCACGACTTATGAATAGAATCCGGACTACTTCTTTATACCTTTTTATTAACTAAAAAAAAAATTACAAAAGAAAGAAAACATGTAATGAAACTCTATATTCTAATATAGAGATTAATTTTTTAAAAATTAATTCTCAAAAATTGATTAAATTATTAGCTTGAAATAAGTTTATTCAAATCATGCTATTGGAGGTTTTAACCGATAAAAAAAAAAAATCATGTTTGTATGCGTGTTTTTCATATTTTGCTTACATTGAATAATCTAACAAAAAAGTACTCGTGTGTGGCTAGATCGGGGGTTAGTTTGCAATTATCAGCAGATCATTTCTTTCAATTAATCAGTACTTTCATTTCTAAACGCTGAATTGATATAACAAAAATCCTTTAATTGATTAGAACTATTATATAGAAAATGATCACATAAACCCTGAGTTGAAGGAACCAATGTAAAAAAACAAAAGAAATAGAAGTAGCCAGATCAATAATCATCAATAATAATATGGAAACATTTTGTACATTTTTTTCTTTTTTTGTATATATATTTGTACATTTTTTCTATTACACAACCTTTTTGCCCAACTGATCCGTTCTTAGAGAGTTAATTAATTTACATCAAACTAAGCAAAGAGACAGTGTGAATTTTCAATTTGCTTACGACTAAATAAGTAATGCATCAGTTTGTGATCCTGCAAATCACAAGAAGGTGAAAAAAAAAAAAAAAAAAAAAAAAAAAAAAAAAAAA